TTATCAATGGTGCCCAAGAGCAATTCTCTTCTCCACTCCATTTCCCTTCCCTTCCAGTCTAGATCTTCTGCACTTTCTTTTCACAGAATCACAGAATGGTCAGGGTTGGAAGGGACCTCTGGAGATCATCTAGTCCAACCCCCCCGCCAGAGCAGGGTCACCTACAGCAGGTTGCACAGGACGGTGTCCGGGTGGGTTTCGAACGTCTCCAGAGTGGGAGACTCCACCACCTCTCTGGGCAGCCTGTTCCAGTGCTCTGCCACCCACAAAGTAAAGAAGTCCCTCCTCATGTTTAGATGGAACTTCCTATGCTAAAGTTTGTGCCCATTACCTCTATGTCCTATCAGTCACAGTTATTCTTGTCTTATCTTGTCCCAACTTGTCTTTATACCCCAACTGCAGCTGAGCTTCAGAGCCTATAAACCCAGGCTCTACTTTTAACTCTGAGCCAGCAGCTGTGTTTATAATTTCACCTTCCTGTTCCCCAATTGTGGCACCAGGATCTTGCAGCCAACAGATGGAAAACACCTGATTATAGCAAAGCATACAAACCTGGGCAACTACCAAGTGTCATTAAGACCCTGTTAATCACAGCTCAGTGCCTTGTGATGAACCAATCGTTCTTGCTAAAACATCTGCTAGTATCTGTGCAAAATGATGAGCAATTAGAGCAGAATGTCTTTGGGCTAAGGGTTCGCAATGTGAGTGTTACACAAACTAATTTATTTTGAAGTCTCAGATGTGACTAATCACAGTATCTAATGAAAATCATATAGCTCTTGGACATAGTTGTGGTTATATTAGGTTTTCAAATACTAATTAAATTGTGCTCCAAGTTAAGGAAGGAAGACATACAATTTAGGATGCAGAAGCAACCCAAATTAAGGCAATGTGGATGTTTCAAAGGAAGATATCTCTTTTCTCCATCTGCTGATACTGTTACTGAAGTTTCCAAGATGTTAGACAAACAATGCCTGAGACACAAAGCAATACACAAGCTGGACATTACCAAACCAGATTAAAGCATCACTAAATTAGCAATAACATAAACCCAAAGTCATCTAAAGTTCGACTTACTTGAAGGGAAATGGCTCATCTGGTGATGTTTTTCCTCATCTGGTTTTGCGGGTATAGGCTGAAGCAGCAATGTGCTGTTAAAATAAATCTAACTTTAGGGTTCTGTGTATCAGGATAAAAGTGCTGCAGCCACATGATGTAAAACACTAGTCTGATACAGATTTACTCATAGGTTCAAATGCATTTAAGCTGTTTTCTCAGGTGAACTTCATGCTGGAAGGCTTCATGTGGGATCAGCCCTCTGATTGTCTGTTGTCCTGAAACTAACGTAAAAGCAGCACAAACCTTTTATCAGGCAATTAGTTCAAATCTGAACCATATACTCATTTCTGACCCAGACTAATTTTGTACTGGTGACGTTCTGACAGCACACGTACCTGCTGGTAATGTCTAGGGCCAGATTTCACAGGTATCATTTTGCACTTGCCACAGTCGTGGGCAGTTTGGGCAAACACGCAGTCAATACTGCCCTGCCCCTGGGCAGGCCTACCGACACCTTTTTACTGTGCTGCTTTTTTTTCATGCCATCTTCTTGTCTGTTCTAAACATAACATATACAATAAAGTAAGGTGGGGGGTTCGGGCTGGTTTTTTTTTTTTTTTTTTTACAGGTTTGTGTAGAGTTATACGAATTATAGTCCTTGACTTTTAATGATTACAGAAGGGGCGAGTTTCACTGTTAGCACAGCTTCATTTAGCTAAGAAAGAAATAGGTACCTTCAAACCTTGCATCTCCAGATTGAAAAATTTTGGGGAATATCAACCCCCAAAATGAGTACTCTGCCTTTATACGCTCATGAATGAATTTCATAACGCTAATGCATAACTCATGCCCCAGGTGCAATACAAACTGACACGAAGATGTAGCATGCAGAAGCCAGAGTGTGACTAAGGCTTGAAGTGGAATGCATTTGATGGCTTCTATGGATTAGGCAAGGCAGAAACAGGAAAGGCTTGAGTCCAACAAAAAAGTGAAACATTTCCAACCTTCTCTAATTCTTTCTACCAGAAGAACCACCAATCTCACCCCCCCAACCCTTCCCCCCAAAAAAGGCTTTTTTAAGCAAAAACATATCCTGTGCAGATGTGCTCCAAATACTGATGGAGCACTCGAATACAAGGATTACAGGGGTAAATAACTGCTTTCTGAAAGTACTACTTAAAAGTTTTCTGATCCAACAGCTATGAGGCCAATAAAGTGCTTGATACAGAGCATACATTTCAATGAGTTACAGCTTTGTTTTATGATGCAAAAGATGCTCATGGTATATTTCCTGATTTGATTCTAGCAACCTTCCCAAATGAATATTGTAAACATCATAGCAGAATATCTCCAGTAACTTCCCTCAAACAAAAGGGGTGAACAAGTTCTTCTTCAAATAAAGGGACAGTCTGTCCTAACAGGAAGCCTAAGACAGAACAGTCAGAACAAAGATATCTTGGGGATTCTGTCTTCCTTTTCACTCTTCTTAAAGGCTGTTTAATAGAACCCACCCAAAATAACCCAGAATTAAGGCAAGAGCTACATGGTGTACAGATATATCCAAAAGACGACATTCATTCCAATATAAAATGAATAGCATTGTATTAACGTTTATTTCTAATTACAAGAAACAGAATATCAGTCCCTTATTTGTACAAAAATACCTGAAAGATTACAATTAGGTTCACAAGCCAAAAAGCTATTTACAGTATGAAGCAAAGCATATTGAATAAAGGTTTTGTCTCTTAAGTTAATACCTTTTGCATTCCCTGAAACTTTAAACTTTATTCCATTTTACAGTCACTAAATCTTGCATTGTGACAATATAATTTACGATAAGCAAGTCTTGCCACTGGAAAGGTGCATTGATTGGTCAAACTGTCAGGTATTTAGTGCAGAAAAGATAAGACAAAACATCTAAACTGAGGCACGTGTTTCTTCAAGATTAATTAACAAATAAAAAGGTTTTTGTACTTTAACACCTATCGTAACATAACTTAACTAGTAACCTCATTACCAAAATGGTTTGGCATTTTCCTTCTCAACATATTCAAGATTGCTACATGAAGTATTTATTTAGAAAATAAAATCACAGGCAAAAAGATAAAAATTCAACAGGCTCCAAAACAACCCTGAGCATCCCCTTTACATTCATGTCATTTAAATACAAAAATAAGAGTCAAATGTCCTTCAGTCCTTGGTATTCTGAGCTGGCAGCCAGCTGAATCTGTTGGAAAACTAAGGTGGTATTGACTGTTTTCCAGCAGAAAGAAGACAAAGCAGTGATCTGCTTAAGTAAGATTGTTGCCACTTTGAAGGTGGTCTCTTTCTCATAACAGCTCACTTTAGCTGGGAAAAGTACAAAATACTAAGTCAACCATCTACATACAAAAATCATGATTCATAGTCAAACTTTTATTCTCAATTTAAATAAGATGCAAGGTTTTTTTTTTTTAATATAAATATGAAACACTGCAAATACTATTCGCCTACTGGGAAAAATGCATGGTTGTCACTAAGCTATGTAAACAGAAAAACTTAAAACTACAGCATAAATGGTCTTATTAAACTGGTAATGTAGTCAATACGAGTATCTTTTTTCTCCTAATAGGGGCCAAATAGAAGCATGCAAAGTGAAGTCAGACTTAAGTTAGCTTAATTTCAAGGTTTTAAAATACATTGTCTAGAAAGCAAGAACACTCATTTCACTATGTACAATTAAAAAAAAAAAAGGCTTCTACTAAAAACAAAATCAAGTTTCTTCATTTTTAATATCTAGACATTAAATGGAAAAAAAAATACTAAATGTGTTCTGTAAACTAAAATACAGTGTTTCTATACCATTGACATAGTTATAAGCTGATATGGACGATTCAGGCAGGTTATGGTTTGTCTTAAGCTATTCTCAACACTACATGAAGACCTAAAGGTGTAGGATTGGTTTTCCTTCTTTACCCTTTCAGATGGCTAGGATTTCAAACCCAGTGGCAAATATTAGTAAGGATGAACTAGCCTGTGTAAATCATTTACCATCTTAAGAATGCTCTGTTCTGCACTGCGCTCTGCAAGTTCCCAGGGTGGAATACTCCTCATCGTGGCTAACTGCACCAAGTACTGGGAAGTAAATTCAGTAACAGTCCCTGCACCAGCCGCGTTGCTGGAAGAATGGTATTTGCAACTGGAGGATCGCGGTGGGGCTTGTCTAACTTTAATACTGATTTATCGTCAGAAGGAGTTACTGTGTAAACATTAAATAATCGATTTAAACATTAACAATAAAGCCGTTCCGATGACAAACCAGCATCAGAGCAAGATTCGTGCTTGTCTGCCATAGGTACTGGCGTGCTTTAGCGTGTGTGACACGGGGATCAGCAGTTGCCTCGGTGGATGAGATTGCCAGCAGCTAGTTCACAATCAAATGTGTTTCCATTCCCAGTGTGTTCTTTCTCACCACGTAAACTTTCATGGCCCTACAGACAGCAGAAGGGGTACAGTTCCTTTTATGCCCTGTTCCCCAGGAGAGCTTTGTGTCACCGTAGCTTTACTATATGGAAAGAGCTCTTTGAAACAGTCTGAAAATTCAAGGAGCTATAAAGCTAAAAACACTGTTTTGTTTTTTGTTTTTTGTTTTTTATTTTGTCATACTAAGACTACCCGCAGAAGAATCTTCTCACAAAAAATGGTGGTTTCAAATACAAGTGTAGTCATCCAGTCCTATTCTATTTAGTAACAGTAAGTTTCCTCAGGAAAACAGTCAAAAGGATGTAAAAAACAAACCACCACTCCAATAATAAAAATTTGTGCATAGAATCTAATACAGTCTTTGCATGACTGGATGCCACTAATATGCCATCAACATACTACAGCCATAATGCTACAAGTCAACAGTTTTAAGAGTACGTATATGGTGGTATGTTCTTTTAGAATTGTATCCTCATTGCTTCTTCAGACATCTGCAGATCATCGAACCTCAGGTCTCCAGAGAAGTTTTGAGACACATGCGCGCACACACACACACACTTCTTGATTTTCTTCTAGATCCTTTTAGGCTGAAGCTTTCCATACATTTTAGGGTGCAGATTAATACCCAACTCCTGCATGAATTTTAAAAGCCACATCAGCTCCTAATATAGGCTGCATACAATATCCGAAACAAAGTAGGAGTGCAAAAAAAGTGATCAATACAAAAAGTAAACACACTAGTCTTAATTGTCAAGATTATTCCAGGGCAAGAGTTCTTTTCAAAGATTTCTCTTCACACTTGTTCCTGTTAAGTGGCCCAGCCAAAATAGTTTCCAGTTTTGTTTCAAATTTACTCATGGTTTTACATACCCTCCCCCCATTTTTGGGATGCTGGGACACTCAGCAGCAATCACTCTTAGGTGTTAGACAAACCAGCAATCTTGGTCTGTTGGCACCTGTCGAATCCATCCCTTTCAGAGTCCCAAGGTGCATAATATTTTTATTTATGTTTACCAACTTACAAATCTGCCAATTCCCCAGTGTCAACGTTCTCTTACAATTACTCTTCTAGCAAATCCAGTCTTCAGTGAGAGTCAGATTTGAGGTCATAAGGCCACTCGGATGCAGTGGTGTTTGAGTTTGCAGGGCAAGACTCCTTTGTTTAGTTGATAGAATTCAACAAGCTGGATTAGATCACTGAATTTGGTGTTCCCGTCATCCAGGCTGAAAAATATCTGTCCATCATCTTCACACTGGGGAAACAAACCACAGTCAAGTCAGACTGCACATGAAGAGATGTGAGTGTGGCAAAACATAAAAGAGTACAGGCGTGAGTACAGGCATGAGATAAATGATGGGCACCGCCCAAACAACCTCATGCCCACAGACCTTCATGAAACCAGGCGCAGCACTAGAGAAGAACGTACGTTAACCCAACTTGAAATGTTTCGTTTATGAAAGCGAAAGCTTATGGGCAGAGTAAATGAAAGTTGTAGAGACAGCACTGGTCTTCATTACAGAAAACAAAAATACCCCAAAAATATTTGTTAGCTCTTTGTAAAATTGGCAGGTGAAGCAAGGGAAGAGGGCTTAAACCAATAGAGGTCTACAGGATCTTAAACTTCTGATGCTCTTTTTGATCAAAATAAAAATCAAATGGGTTCTTGACATCTCAGCATAACGTTATGTTAAGCTCAACATTATTGGATAACCTCCAGAACAAAACTTTCAAAAGTCTCCCTAAGTTCTTCTACGATTGCCTAAGTGGTAGGGAGACGACTGCTGCTGTTGTTGCTGTCGGTCACAGAGAACAAGTTCTGTGCATTACTTCTATACCTAAGTGACTTCCACTAGTTTTCCAGGCAATGTTAACAAAGAATTTCAATCAGACATTTGACGATTCCGAAGAATACTTGCTAATATACTTGCTAATGGAAACATCCTTGTTAATTACATCAGTAATTAATAAGAGGTGGCTTCAGATGTTGGCAAAGCTTTATGATTTTTTGCGATCAATATAAAAAAGAAATTTACTTACCGGCAAAATTTGAAAATGCTTTATTTTTTGATGATGGCACAGTGTAAGTACAAATGCCTTTGGATTGCTTTGGCTGTCCCGGAGAAGAAACAGTCTAGGAAAGAACATTTTTAGGTACACATTGAACACCACAATCCATTTCTTCATAAATAATCAGAACTAAGTCATTTTGTGCTATTGCTTAACTCTTCTTTAGTTGCATTAACAGGCGATTCCATAACTGGCACTTTGCTTTCAACTTTTATATCATGGCTATGACACACTAATAGATGAAGAAACAAGAAACGCAAGATACGTGCCAGTAATTCTTCCCCTATGAATGCACGTATGAGGCTTTTTTTTAAGGGTCTCTCTAACTGAGCTTTCCATTACTGGTATGTACTCTCATGAAGAAAGTGTTCTCATTGAACTCCAAAGCAAAACTGGATTTCTGTAGATGGGAAAGTAATACATGAGAATTTGTTCCCACTCTCCAGTGTCTTGCATCAGTTTACAGAAACCCAGTGTTAGCAAAATTAAATTTAAGCTAAATGGCTGCAATTGCACAGAAACCGCTCAATACTTTCGTAAAACAACTTATCACTTAAGTAGCATCCACATTATCAAGATGGGGAAAATACACACTGCCTTTTCGTCTAAAACAGTCACAGTATTTTTCCTTCAGCATCTCATTGGAAAAGAATCTACTCTAGCAGTATAGCTAGCAACGCCATACACTATGTAACTGTCACTTTTAAGTTGACCTACAAAATTGAAGTCTAACTCAAATGGTTAAATATGTACTTAGAAGACGAGAAAAACAATCCAGTCAAAAAATGTTTCCTCCCCTTGACATTTATGAACTAAGGAAGGAGAACCTCTCCATGCCACAGGAAACAAGAATATACCTTTGGCACAAGGCTCACGGTGCTAATGACTAGTGGATTTGTGAGATGGCCAAGTGCAGTATTGGGGCAGGCCTCAAGCCCTCTTAATTGCTAACCACTAAGCCAGGAACACACTTTTCCATGGCTGAGTTGCAAGAACTGCCTGTAGTCTTACAAACCCGAAAGAACTTACTCCAGCTCCTCGGAACTGATTGAGAAATGTCAATACCACAAAAATGCACCATCATAATCAGGGTCAGTCCAATACTCAGAGACAGGCACGTCTTGCCACCACCGGAAACCATGCATGCTATTTGAACATTCTTTTTTAGTCCTAGCAAGACCAGATGTGTGGAAAAGGGACCAAAGACTGCCCCGTGGCTCCTGCAGTCCATGCAGGTATCTCTAAATTATCTTTCATCTAGCCATTTCAGATAACGCATGGTATCCAAAGCTGGTGGCACAAAGCAAAGCTCAGCACAACTGAGCCTGCACGTGTTTACTCAACCTCTGGCAAGCAACAGGCTGTCCACACAAACAATGACTAGAAAGATAGATGCATCCTCAACAATAGCTTCCAGAAACAGTCAAATGATAGCAGTATCAGCTGCATATATATATATACATTTCTGAACACCTTACACGAGCCATCAGAAGACTTAACTTTCTACCTTCTTTTGTTCAAGAACAGAGCAGGAAAACACAGGCAAGACTCTTTTGTCCTGGAAACCATGATCCTTAGATCTCAGAGCACGTAGGTAACATGGTTCTTTTGCCCCTGCTGACTGACCTCGCTACAGCCAAACTAACCAATTTTCACCTTCCACAGTGAGTAAGCTGGCTGGGCACAAATTCAAGACCACCTCAAAGGCATTAACACATTCCTGAAAACCCCAAGAAGGATGGGCCACTAGATTCCTAAGGCAATAAGTCAAAATGAGCCCAAGATGGTAAAGAAGATCTGTAGTGTGAGAGAACCAGAAACCAAACAAGTCAGCAGTGCTCCTTTGCTTGCTCAGCCTCTCTCTTTGACCTGCTAAGCTAAAACCCAATAGCCTTGGCCCAGCAAGAAACTCAAAACAATAAAAAACTCTGCTTGGTGACTATGTAGAGGGACCAGCAATTTCTATTTCTCTAATGTATTTCGTTCTTCACAAAGATTAGTGATGGTCCTGAATCAGAAAATGCCGAAGAAAGGTTTGAACTTGACTGTCTCCTGAGAAGCCAACGTGGAAGTTTCTACCTTAACCCTGACAGTAGTGAAATTAGTGAGCTGAAGGCAACCATGCTATTCCCATCCTACAAAGAAAGAACTGCTGAATGCAGTGTAAGCAACTTCCCTTCAATAACCATAACTACATATAAATAAGGGAAACAGAGATGCTCAGAAGATAGTTAAATCTCAACTACAGACATTTTATAGAGTGCTGGAACAGGTACTTTCATTTCTTTGCTCTAGAACAGACATAAATAGTGAGAAATCATCATTAACTGCTCTGATTCATGTAAAAGAGCACAAATGGCTGATTATAAATTTGTGGGCAAACGGCTAGGTACAGCTTTGCCTGAAAAATACGTCCTTGGTGCAGGTTACAGGAATTCATTATTTTCAAATTCTAACATTCTCTAGACCTTTATTGCCTCTGTAGGAAAAAAGAAAAAAGTTTAGATGTATTCTTAATATTCTATCTTTCAAATTAAGAGTTAGAACTCACTCCTACAAACACATACTCTGACTTTTTGAAATACGGGCAGGTTATAATGGGACTACTCAAGAATCGGGCTACTCAGAAGTGCTCACAAACCTGTAAAGCCCTACAGCAGAAGCTGTGCTCCTATCTATAATGCTTACCATCAGATCACAAATACTAAGCAACAGGAATACCTACCCATCTACAAGCCCTTGTTGCTTAATAATCCTGTGAGATTCTTCTCTAGAGATTCTGCCGTGAAACCAGTGCTGTGTCCTATGAATAACTGGAGGTGAGAGGGAAAAGAAGGGAAGAGAGGATGGTTAAAAATAGTAACATGTGCAACAGGTTTTTTCCACACACTAATTATTTAAACATTTTAAAAGTGGGTATAGTTTTGTTACAGAATACAAAATATCTTTCATCAAGCTATATAAAAAATGAATCAATATGAAAAAAAAGCACCAGCTGTTGCATCTACTTCATATACCAAGTAGACAGGCATCATCTCCATGTATTTTCTGATTCGCAGATATACAATTAGGTTAATGAGAGAAATCTCTTATCGTATTGGCCTTTTTGAAGCTTCTTGAAAATGTTGGGACTAAACAATTCTTAGAATACAATGAATAAGCTTACGAGTTAGAACCAAGTCCCTTTAACTGTCAAATAATGAAAAGCACTTCAGCTTGTGCTTTCAAGGGTGGAGTTAACCCCAACTATTTTTATGTTTATTGTTTTATTGTTTTTCAAATGGTACTTTTGAATTTTGTTCAACAGAACAGAAACACAGAATAGAAACAGAGAATAGCTGTGTTTCCTCTAAGTAGTCCAGGATATTAATACGCCATTTCCTATTATTTTAATAAACTTACAATCTCAAAGAGATGTTCAGAACTTACATAACAGGCATCCGTATTTTATATTATTCAGTTATTATGGAATTAATGCTATTTTGAAGACTCGCATTTTTACTCTTTAAAGATTAACAGATCACTCATTGACTTTCCTTGTCTAAAACGAAGAACTGACTTCTGGATTGTTTTAAATGGAAACATTTATGGAGTCTCTATTTTTATAAAATCTGAGTTTCAAAAGATTAATACTGAAGGAAAGCTTGAGCGCACCTTCAAAGGAAAACAAGTTCCTTCTCCTGTGCCTGTATGGGTAAGCATGTTAATGACACAGAAGCTACCGATAAACATAAACATTGTATTTGACATTGAAGCATACTATACCACTGCACTCTATCTCTGTCTCTATATGAAATACAACTTTTATTTACCCACAGAGGCCTCTGATACTATGCTTACAAGCCAGCAGAATTTACCTGTACTCAGTGTGGAAGGATGGAGTGGACTTTGGCTACCCAAGATGTTCATTCTTGTGCTACGTTTCTATAGAGAAAATGAATTACCGTTAAATCCACACTAAAGCCTCAACAGAAAAGAATTAGTGCACATGCAATACAGATTTAATTTACAGGAAACTGGGGGCTGGGCAAGTTTAATGCAAGGATGAGAAAAAGAAATGTAACTTTGAAGGGGGCTAATCTACAAGCAGCAGCTCATTTCAGTTGGCTTAAAACACAAGCCAGATGTTAATGATGAAAGCTCAGTATCTAAAAAATAAAGGAAAAAAAAAGAAAAATAAAAAAAAGACAGAAAAAAGAAAAGTCTGATATGTTTCTGCTCAGGCAAAACACCAGGCACTCAGTAAATCAAGCAGTATTTCCCTCCCGTACATAAAGCACCAGCTAGTGCTTCAGTAATGACTCCTATTCCCTAAGAGACGAGCATGTGGGAAAACTTGTACTGCAGCTGTCTGTCCACAAGACACTATAAACAAGTTACATCAGTTTTCATTGCAAGAGGTCCTGCCTCTTGTATATTCTGCAATTAAACTTACTGGGAGCAAGCCATTAGTCAGAGCCCCAGCCTCTTCCATGTGGGGAAGCATTTAATTTGACATATTCCTCCTCAGAGACTGGTTTTGCAAACTGGCAGTAAAGTTCTGGTGGGTCTGCTTTCCCCCTCAACTTTCCTCTGGACACTAGGGGGACAGAGAAGCAGTGGTAGAAGGTTGTTGTGAATGTGACAGTTTTGCTAAAGATGGATATTGACTTTCAGATCTGCATGCTTGCAGTGTGATTGCTTCAGGTCGGAGCTAAGCTATACTGTGACCAGCACTGCACTAACATCATAGCACACTCTGTGTTTTGGCTCTCAACAGACACTTACTAATTACAAAAATAGAAAAGAAGAGAAGATAGCTACCCTCCAAGCATGTCCTTCTTCCAAGGCAGCACTCAGTGCTTCAGCAGAAAAATCCATTGCTACTAGTGAGTTTTCAGATACACTTCTCTGAAAAGGAATTTTCACTTGTTTCAAAAAACAGGGAAAGAAAAAACCAGCTTGAGAGTTTCATTTCAAAATGTTTTGGTTTCAGAAGACTGTCCAAAGTTATCCTTCAACAGCACAGAAAATACATCTTTTTTTTTTTCCCCTTCCGAAAGATTCGCAGACACAAAAATAAGCGGCTTTTCTTTTTAGGCCGTAGGGGAGGGAGAGGATTCAAAGGCCGAGAATAAAATCTGTATTGCTCAAGTTGCCCACTTGCCCTATTACTATACTCCAGTCATTTTCAGGGCCAGTTGGGATCCAAATATAGGCTCTTCACTTTTAGATAGCTAACAGTCAGCTCTTGGCCCAACATATTTTAGGCAATTTACGTGTTAGTTTTGCCAGGCCTAAGCTGGCTTCTGCAGAGACAGCCAGATGTCTCTGTACGGTACATCTCAAAGTGCCTGACGTATCCAAGATTTTTCAATCATGTGGATCGTGTAAGCCTAAGATAACGGAGAGCCAACCACGTAAACTGTATGCATGCGAAAGGTAAGCTTTACGTTGATTTGCTGCACAATGCTGAATTTACATTTCTTAGTGTAAAATTTTCCACTTTTAAAATGCAAAAGCAAACGTATCTTTTCCAACATCATACATGAATGAGGTAAAGTTCATTACTTACTACTGGAGTGGCAAAGTGTGGAAGCATGGCTTTTCTCTGCTGGGGAATTCTGTAATTCTGATACAGTAGCATTCCATACTGCCAACAGAAATGCAAGGACATTATTATTCAAATATATACCCTAGGAAAAAAAACTGCCGTGATTTCGTAATACCACTTACGCGGGAGCAAGGTGCCACCAGTTTATTATTTTCATGATCAGAAGCTGTCCCAAAGCAATTTGCATTGAGTGACAGTGATTGGCAGGTGGCAATCGCACAGTAAATAAGCAGGACAAGCTTTATTTAAAAGACAGCACTTTTACAAGCCTGAGTGAAATACACAGGTAATTTCTGCCACTCTCAGCTGTTACCGCATTTTCCATGCAGAATACAAGCTTACACTCGAGGTCAGAACACAAACATTAATTCCCCCTCTTTTTACCCTCTAGTAATGTGAACTAAAAAAAAATTCTGTATAAGACATTCAAACTCAGTTTTCATAATGATAAAAAATAAGATCCTTTCTAATTCACAAGCTCTCTGAATAATTTTCAGCAAGAAATAACACTTTTAGTACTTTTCTCATCTTTATAAAAATAAGGTGATTGAGTTCCAGTCATGCTCCTCACTTAACATGATAACTTTTAGCAACACTAGTAGCTAGGATGGTAGGAAAGCACTTACTCAGTGCCTTCCCTAGAGGCACAGTGCTGGAGTACAGCAACATTGCTTACTAAATGTTCTAATTGGAATGGTAGATACAATTTTGTAAACAGGGTAATATATGACTATGGAAAGCTAAATCAGTACGTAAATAAAAAAGGGGGTCACGGCCACAGCCTTGGGGCACAGCCTTAATCTTCCCTCCTTTAATCATCTAATCATCTTTCAGTGTTCCTTAAAAACAGACCCTTTCTTTACCCCTAGTGTTAACTACCTAAGGGTGACTGCTATATGCCAGTATACAGAAATTACTGCCACGCAGTACTGTTGCTGCCACAGGTCACACTGCGAAGAAAGACTCCTCTGAACTATCACATACTTGGTAAGAACAGCTAATTCTGTACACTGTGAAGGTTTTTCCTTGCCATTCAGGAACATTAGTGCCTTGACCAGTGCAACTAATTTCTTCAGAGCAAGTGGTATCTTCAAGGCACAATTCACTACAATGATCTGATCCTCTGAGGACTGTCCCCACAATACAAAATTCTATCTAAATAGGGAAAGTAAAGGACAGCTGAGAAGAAGCACTCAGAACTGCCTGGGGACTAAAACTCTTACCATAATTGTTAGTGTGTATTAAACACGAGTCAAGTCAAGTCAAGTAACTGGAGAGCGGATTATGACAGCCAACAGAAGTATCAGCTCCACAGAAATCAAATATACATCTTGTAACTGGGATTGCTTCTTGCACCCTGGCCCATACCATGGCTAGAGCTCCCGCTTTTGTAAAACCTTAAAATAGGTATTTCTGTAGTGCAGCACAGAATCTCTTACAATTAACGAATGAGATAATATTTGGAGAGCATTCAAAGAGATGTGCTCTGGTTTGGAAGGTGACCACTTAATGTAGATGGAGAATAGGCATTGCATTTTCATACCCGCAGGCCTACGAGCCCGGTTTGCTCTCCCTACGCTTACAGGGTTTTGCATGATGGACAGTCTACACGGGGAGAGGAACAGGTAATTGTAGCAAATGTTTGTCATGTCTTGAGGATAAACAAATGAGATAAATTTCTTTGAAAGGGAGCAGAGGAATAACAATGCTCATGCAGCAATGGCAATCTCTATGGCTTTTCCTAGTCAATGCCACACGTGGACTGGGAAGCCATAAAATCCCACAGTCTTTCTGATGCACCCGCTCGGTCCTTGGACATGTGCTACGGGAGTGCATCTTCTTCAGCAGCAGGGTGTGACACGCCAGTGGGGAAAAGGGCATTTTGGCAGAGAGGGGTGCGATGACGTGGGCTGCTACTTAGATAGGAACAGCGACTCTGTTCATTCAGGACAGACAGACCAAGTGCTCGCAGCGTCCTTGGGTTGCACATCCCATTTTGGGCACAGTCTGGCACATGGCAGCCACCAGCAGGACGCTGGCACGCTGACCTCAGCAGCCGGAGGGAACAGCCGTGCCCTCATCTCCAAATCTGAAATTGTCTGTTTGCTACAGAGAGAGCCAAAGTCGACTGAGCTCAAGGTTCTCCATCCTATTTTGGTGGACACATATCTAGTATCAAGGACCACAGTACCACTTTGTGCATGCCTCTATTTTTTATCACATTTTGTATATTACACTTTGACACAGAATATTAGAAAGTAAGATAACTGCGTGGAAGAGAGGTGGGATTTTAATGGGTAACACATTATCTGTACATATTTATTATATTTTTTCATAGACGTGTATATTCCCTTTAATATGAGGGAGGCTGTAGTAAGGTACAGAGAAGAACATAGTAGTTTTCAAGGCAGCATCTTCAGGGAAAGATTTAAAAACAAAACAAAACAAAACTTCTGCACATTTCCCTATGAAGATCTGAAAGTTCTCTGCTTCAAAGAGCGTAAAATAGTCAGCTTTCTGCTCAGTTCCTCTGTGCCGATTTTGTTTCAAAAAGCTGTGAAGCCTCCTACCATATTATCATGAAATCTCATTGTTTTCTCTCAGATGTTAATAACTTTCACCCAGAGATAGGGTTGCTTATTTTTGTTGCTTTTTTAATAGAACCTTCAGAAAACTGAAAAAAAAAATATGCAAAGGCTTTAGTTCTCTCTGTTCTAGTTCAGATAACCACTTACCATCATCAAAACATTTTCTTTAGCTTAATGATGACTTGCAAATAGCTTGTTAAGCAGTTTTTTTGATTCATTTACAGATCATAAATTTAGCTCCAGAACTAAAATTATACTTCACTCGTATGTTGAAGGAATTTGCTCAGTCCTGTGCTTCAAAGCTTAGGAGGGACAGGTCTACCTGGCATTTTGCTCTTCGCTGTATCATTTTGGAGGCAGATAACGTTTAAGAACATAAAGGTATTTTCTCATGAACAAAATAATGAATGCAATTTAACTACGGGTGTAGGTTTATTCATATATAAGAGATTAGGTACCTTGAGGAGTCGAAAGGCAGTCATCCAGCACGTCCTGCTTTGCTCATCTTCAGCACACAACAGCCTCAGTTCCTTAGTTTCATTTCTCACTCTGTTGGGCTATAAAGTATTAAAGGGAAGTCAGCTACATTCAGTAGAAAACCAACACCACCGTAAGTTTACTGCAGAGTAAAGGCAGGTATAGTATTAGTCTAAGAACTGGCCAGAAAAAGCTCACACCACCCTGAACTAAAGCTCAGGAGAGGCTGAGCATGCTTTGAAAGAAATCACTTTCTCAGCTGAGTCCAGTAAGATAAATGTCAGTGCCAGCTTTGAAATACCCTGCTGTTCTGGCAGTTTGTAGGAACGAGGTACTCGGGCCATGCTAGAACCAGAATCAAGGCGTTTGGGGTTTTTGTTTCTAGAACTGTGGGAAGTTTTATGAGCCCCCATTTCGAGATGAAGAACCAAAGTTTCCATAACTGAAGGTTACTGGAAGTCTGCTTCCAGCAGTTCAGGATCTGTCTGCAGCTGGTCTCTGCTCTCTGAGGCAAACCCATGTTGTCTAGCTCTGGCATGGCTGCTAGGGAGGAGGCTACTTCACTGCTGTCAATAAAACCAGCTCCCAGCCTTATTTTCTTCTCAGAAAATTACAAGGAGCTTTGAAATACCTTCCAAACCTATCTATCAGCACAACAGTTCTTAAAATCCTCAAAGGCAACTGGTTATTCTTATTTCTATTTTCCCAGGAAATCTTCTTTAAATGAATGCAAACCTCTGGCCCACAGTAATGGTACAACTACACCCAATCGGAGCTTGATCCTTTGTTGCTGTATAGTTTTGGTGCTTGCTGTCCAGAGAAACTTTCCTATTCAATTAGAGTGCTTGGGGAAAAAAATTTCATCTGTGAGGTGAACCAAGGCCACCTCACAGGCACACCATGCTTCAGCACTGAGCTCATCTTGCACAGGCATTTCCCAAGCCAAAGGAAGGAGCACCAGATAAAGTGTTAAAAGTGTCACATAATAAAACGATGGCAAGATTCACAGGACATGCCTGCCAAACGAAAGACGTTAAAGATCAAGTCCTCATGACAGAAATGCTTGCAGAGTTTTACATACAAATCCCATTTAGCTGGGGGCTGGGGGGGACTCTGAGCTACCAACACTGCCTTGAACTTCAGAAGAACTTAACGAGAAGAATTACCTTTATACAAAATCCATACTCTGCAGGTGCACTGTACAACTTCTTGCCTGCTATCAACGAGAAGATATTGCTGTCTTCTAGGTCAGCCAACAATTGCAAATGTCTTGGCTCCTGGGGAAATAATGAGTTTTATCATAGGTAAGCGTAATATTTTGGAAGATCTTGCTGCACGGTCTGCAGTCTCTCAAGACCAACCTCCAACAGAGGGCAGTGTATGAACACTGTGCTCCTCTTTCAGGCAGCCTGGACACCCCATGTCACCTTTTAAATAGCAGCCTACTGTCAGAAGGGGCTTTATACAAGAAGCTGACAAAATACTTATTCGAACATATCACATGAAAAATAGCACAGCCTATTGCCCCTGAGAAATCAGAAAGTTAGATAATATAAAATATTGTTTAAGGTATCATTTAAACTAAATCCATGATCTGTGTGCTTGGAGAGCATGATTTCTCTTGCAAACCTTGTTAGCATGACTTCAGGAGCCACCATTATGTTGTCCGGCTAGTTTTGTTTTATTATATAACAATGCTATATAGCTATTTTCATGCATTGAGAGCCCAGGGCTTGCTTGTCATTTGATCATGACTTGCTTATCCTTTTCTATGCAATAAAAAAAGGCAACACTGTGTGCAGGTATTTAAAAAACAGCAAAAAATACCCACTGTAAAAGCAGAAAATGCTCTCACGTGGTAGTACTGTGCAACTTCTATTTTAATCTTACCTTTGAAGTTCCTTTTGTAGAACAATAAAGTCCTGATCTCCTCAAACACACATACAATTTCTTCCATGATTTTCTACCCAGCTCTTTCACATGCAAGAAACCTTGAATTTCAGGGCAGCTACTGGAGTTTAAAAAGTTCTGTTGGAGAGGAAAATGTAAATGAGGATTGTGTCCTAGGGATGGTTCGTAAAATTGTCACTGTGTTTGCGGAACAGAAAGTAAGTGGCAAATCACTTTGATGACTTGGGGCGCAGTTTCATATTATGCTTAAACTGACCTAGATGTTTAAACTGATTTAATGACCAAAATGGATACTCCTGCTCCTCTCGCTACATCTACCTACCTAACTCCTCCTGCTGCTGACATTTCCCTGTTCTCTGTGTCAATACTTCAATCTCCAAAAAGCTAACCATTTCCTTGTATCCCCATTCTTCTTGCACTTGGCCCGAAGGGACACAAGGTAAGTTTATTAACTCTTAAAAGAAAACCTTGTCACAACAATTCTGGCAACTAGTCTAACTTGAAAACATTAGCCAAAATCTGCAACTTTATCCTGGATTTTTGGAATGTGAACAGTCTATTTCAGGATTTCCCCACATTAAAGTCTTATATAGCACATGCACCTGTCGCAAGACAAGAAGTATGACAGACAACAGAATATTTAACTCAAAACGAAATGCAGAGTAGTCAAGTAAGTGTCAGCAATTATACTAGACTTCAAGATCCAGAAGTACTTAAGTTCTTGACATAATTAGAGGGACCACACATGGAATCATTTGATTTGCGATACATCAAAGGAAGGAAGTATTAACTACGGTTAGCAAATTGATGGATTGCTCCCTTATTACAGTGGGCCAGATTTTTAAATGACTGACTTGCTCAGTAAGTTAAATGCCAAACTAATAAAGTCAATAGTAGGAAGAAAAATGCATAATCCTGGTAGGCCTAGATGCCTCTGCAATTCTTGAAAGTTGTGTTTTGGTGTTATTAGTGGGCTATGCCCACAGGAAACAAAACCAAAGATCAGTGCCCTGTGTCAAAATTCTTAGTTGCATTAAAAGCTAATTTTTTTTTTTCAGTCCTTCTCCCCATCTCATCTAACAGAATGGAAAAGAACAGGCAATTTTCCTGCTATTTGTTCTACGAATCTACTTCTCAACTGTGAAAAGGAAAGACCAAAAGAAGAATATATTTTCTCTGTCCAGCTAGATAAACCGAAAGTAAACTAAGATGCAAGCTTTTTTGCCTATCTGAGCCAGGATGACACTACGGAAAACAGATCCCACTGTTTTTAATGCTATTGTATATGGTATTGTGAGACGATATTCAACATTCTTCCCTATTCTGTGTGTAATTAAAAACGGTGCACTTGCTCAATGTTTGAGGTGGCCTCAGATGCCACCATTAAGCAACATGCTTAATGACTACTAGACTGCAGGAAGTTTACCTTCAACAAATTACAACTGTCACTGAAATTACGAAAAATGGTTGTATGTTTTTTAAAAGGAAAGGGGTATTTAATATAAATGCTTAAAGGAAGATTGGTTTTTTTTATGGTTAAACAGCCAACCAAAGAGAATGTACCCATCCTCTTTCCCCCACCCTCTTGCGCTGTTAACCCCCGTGACTTAAGCTTCTCCAGGACTGTACCTAGCTGAGCCTCCCTAGAAGCAAACTCGTGTATCTGACAAGGCTGTAAGGTTTTCCTTTCCCTGCTGCTCGCGTTACCCTAGGTTCAAAGCTTTTCCATCTTCAAGAACATCTTGCTCTTTTAGGGAGTCCTGCTGCTCGTGTTAACAAGCAAACTCAATTCTCCACTTACACTGCAGGAAAAAGGGTGGAAGGTGTGAGCACCTCTGTTCCCACCAGTCTGCGACAATGCCTGTTCGCACCAGTTTTGGGTCCCGATTGCAACCTCACTGCATGTGACATTCAGTTTTAATTCCAGAAACTGGTTTGATTTTTGTTTTGTTTCCCAGCTGAGAGTGGATGCTAACATTTCAAATTCTTCTCAGTGAACCTGCAGCCAGTATTTAATGGATTTTGAAGTGGTTATGGGACAAAATGAGTGCACTGGTTCAAAAGTCAGTGAAAACTTGTATTTAGAGTCAGTGCATATTTGCAAACATGCAAAATGACAGAAATCAAGCCAAAATCAGTTATTTGTATGCATACTTTCTTCATATATTTGTGCCTTCTGCTTTATAATTTGCCTGTAATTCGTGGTACTGTCTTCCAGGCATCATGGTCTTATATTCTTAATATAGTATTCTTTTAATAAACTGTGTTTCAATTTGGCCTCTTTAGTTGACAGTCCCCCATTTGAGAAAACAACTAAAGTGAAAAAGATTTAGACTACAGGGTTTAGATGGGACTGCTTAAATTGAGAGGTTTAAGTGAATGAGTGACTGGTCAGAGGTAGCCCACCCTTCAGCCCCATCCTTGGAGGCCAACCGAATGTGCCACCACCACAGTTCCTTCATAAGCAAGCAAGAAACTGTACGGCAATATCAAAACTTCAGTAGACGCTCAGTGCACGTGCCACTGCCACGCAGATTGCACAACTCTACCAACATATATGCATAAGGTACAACCCCCTGTAATTTACCTTGGGGAGCTTTAAATGGGATTACTTTGCAAATACTACATACAATTTCCTATAGCTACTTGCACTTACTTCCTAAGGAATTATTTTTCTACCTAAACCAGCAGCTAGTTGGCTGAACCATGGGGAAGTTGGTCCTCATTGTTAATTCACACCAGGCACAAACATGGGACATGAAAAGCAAAAGCAAAACCTCTCACCATCTCAAGCCCATCTTTCAATGTACACATACGTTTTTACACTTCCTCCTATGCTATGTTGTGGAGTATAGAAGAGTACTTCTGGTTTGCTTTTTATAAGGTATATTTGTTTTTCTAGAAATATATCTGCTGAGACTGTTTTAGGAACAACACTAGGTGGCCAAACAAGGTAGCCAGAGAGTAAACTGCATATTAATGGAAAAAATATGTATGAAAATACCTATGAATACTTCGCGTTCATAACTTACATCTCAATGCCACCGGGTATGATCTTTGTCAGATATTTTCAACATTAGTACCACATGCTAACACACTACACTGGTCTTTCTCTGACCAGCTGTTTCCAGGCCTTTGTATTCTCCCTTCCTCCCTCTCAACCTCTCCCCTCCAGCTCAAAACTTTCTTTGTCCATATGGATAACTTACAGTACCTGCAAAAGTTGTGACTGTGGGATACTGCCATTTGTTTGCTGGCACCAGGCAACCATTTGCTCTGGAAAGAAATTCTAGACACAAAAAGAGAAGACAATTGGAAGTCACATTATATTTGAACACTTTTACGTAGAACAAGTGGAATTTTCTTCCGGTCATTAATTTTTTGAAACTATTGCTCTTAAATCAATTAGGAGATCCCCTGACAGAGAAAGTAATACTAGGCCTTTCAAGTGCAGTTCTTCCCTTCCTTCTGCTCACCAAACGCCCATGTAGACAGAACGTGGATTTTTAAAATATCTGACATGCAGCATTTCATAAGTGCATTTTCCCATCACTTGCTCTTCTACTGAGGGCTTTCGGGGAGCTCTAACAGCCTCTTCTTTCTAGGAAAGGACAGGATGACTCTTTGCTTATTGTATATTCTGCCACCAAATTTCTTTGCTTCCCTCTCCATCCAGAAAGGTTGTTCAGGGAACAAACTCTCTCTAACTCCACTTGCCATGCGGAAGATGGAGAGCAGGAGGAATAACAAGTTTTCCCTACCCTCACGGGGTAAGCTGGATGCAAATGCATGAAAAGAAGCCTAAGGCAGGGATGTTGCAGGATCTCTAGTATGTATACCTTTACCTTTGACAGCACTCTTTCTATCCAAAATACAGTTCTTCAGTGCTGTATCTGCTTGACCCTAAAACCTGCTCAGTCCCTCAGAAAGCTCCAAACAAAGAGCAATTCGCAGACCTTAGTTATAAGCAAGAGCTCACGTGTGACTGTTGATGCTTTCATTTGGTTGCTCAACAGCCAGGTTATGCTCAGGGCTTGAAACCCTTCAATCTGTCAAGAGAAAAGCCCTTGGCAAAATCTACCCCTATATGTATATATTTCAGGGTAACGTAACAGAGGCCAGTGCTTTTTCTTGAAAGGATAGGCCAGCATACATTCCATGAAATGAAATAATAAAAACTGAACGAGGACACACATGCAATGATTAGGCTCTGTCTCGTACACCCTGCTTCACGCGCTAGACTTGAATAATCTCAAAGCAGAAGTCTACCTCCTTTCCCCAATCCCGCAAACACAGAAGCAAATATTGGTTAACACACAAACAGGTGCTTCTGCAGCACTTTTTGATTTCAGGCATCCGGTACAGTATCTCATTCACATTTAATCTTTGCATGACAAAGGTCAGACAGTTTTCTGACTATTAAATTGATGACTTCAGATGTATTCCTCCAGTTCCCCTTTTCATTTGCCATGTTTTAAAATTCCTATATAATTCGGTACAATGAATTTACTATACACAACAATTACATTAAGTCATTCCTGAAGTTTTTAAACATTATTTGAAGCATGAAGACATGCAGAAATGCCTGAAATAAAACAATGACTGATTATAATGAGATGAATCACAACAAAACCGTTTCCAGTTTAGAACATCCGTCACTCTTCAGCAATATAAATTTCAGTCTTTAGGGCATAAGGAGAAGGGCTGAAGAGGAATCACCCTTCTGCCAGGTAAGTTGCACAATGAATTATGAAAGCTAACATTTACCAGCCTCTCTTGAGTAGAAACAGTGCCATATGGCAATAGCTAATGCAACGGATAGGGAGCCTTCGCATTCTTACACCAAAAGAATGATTTATTCTCTGATTGCAGGAGCCTGGGACTGCATGCCAAGCATTCTGGGTTTTACTCCCATGCTCTGTTATTAATTAAAGTATACCACATGAAACCAATGTGCTAGCTCCTATGATACCAAAATTTCTGTACAAGACTCAGATGTTCATAGGTTATCAGATGGGAAGATCAACAGAAGTGAAAAATTGCAAACACTCTGCGTACAGAAATGTTTCACACAGCAAGTCGAGACACAGGCTCTGAAACAAGCACTAGCAGATGACAAATGTACGTGCAAGCACACGTGCGAGGATGCAGCAACTGTGCATTAGCGTCTACGAGGAAACGAATGAATTTATCATCTGCAGTAACTTCAGCAATGAGTTTGCATGTGACCTCAAGTATCTTTTTTCTTCGAGCACCACAAACGCCCAACTGACCCAAAAATCTGTTCTCACCTAAACCATCTCTGGATTATCCTGCTTCAGCTACCTAGATGGGTCACACCAGCTGACATTGGTTCATGTCAACAGCCTGCTTCAGCTTAATTGTTTAGATAAAATGTGAAAAATCATCCCCAAATAAGCAGTTACACTGCAAACAGTTTAAAATTGCAACATTCAAAGGATCTTATGACTCCAGGAATTAGTTATGAAAAACAATACTTTTCAAGCATGGATATACGTGAGGACATAGCGAGGGCGAGTTACAATGATCAGTAAGGAAGTCAGAGCACACTAGTAAAGCACAGCTATAGGTAAGACAGTGTTCAACATACATAATGATAAACTGGAAATTCCTTGTATGTAGTAAGTGCTTTAGGGGTTACCCAGAGGTTTGGGGTTTTTTTAATTATTACTGTCAGAAATTAAAAGGTTTGGATACTGCACACCATGCGATCAATTTGCTTCAAATCAACTAACTTTGAAGATAATGAGTAATCATTGCACTTCTGATTGTTTTCCTTAAACCAACAAAGATTCCCCTGTCTTGGTCACTCTCCAACATAACAATAACCATTTTGAAACAAGTATATTTGGTAACTTGAAAACACTTGAGGTTTTTAGGCTGGGAGGAGAGTACAAGGAATTTAAACATTGGTTAAAACTTCTTTGGAAAGAATTCCATTTGTTGGTTGCCTTTTTTTTTTTTTTTTAATAGATGTTTAAGACATAACAGTGCCCAGCAATGTTATTGCAATCCATCCCTCTCTCTGTGGTGTAAACAACTAAGCAATGAGACTCACCATGGGATTTTTGAAAAATTCATATTTTGCGTAATTCTTCCTGAACAAAAATTTACTTTCACTTCCCATTGTGGACTCGACTTGAACTATGAGCTCATGATCTTCCAAGCACCTCTCTGTGGAAAAAGAACATGATGTTAACACACAGCCAACCAGCAGAAGCAGTGAGACCAACTTCCAAAGAATAGGAGTAAAACAACCCCATGTAATTCCGTTACCTTTTAAGAAGTTAACAAAACATACTAGAGCTTTCAAACCATACTGTCATGAGACATTTAAGTATTACGAAGTTTAACGTTACATGGCAGCGTTCTTCAAAGTTTTCCTACATCAGGGCTTCACAAGCACAGATTTTTGAGAAAAGAAAGAACGTGAGATTTTTTTGTGTGCAGTAGCTTAAATAATACACACAAACCTCTTCCTTTGGTGCTGGCTATATGCTGTGGCACTGGCAAGGTGGACAGATTTCAGACTAAAAAAGTTGCAGAAAGGCCACCGTTAGGTCTTGAACTATCACAGAACTACAGCGTCCTATTTGATCACACTCTATAAAACCAGTTCATTTCAAGGTGAACTTCAGGCCTTTATTGTAGATGCTAGACAATGGGGTTTATTATGAAAGAGGTCACAGGATCTACTTTACAGGAATACTGACAGAGACAAATGTTTTGTACACATGACAGGGCAATTTTCTGCTCTAGATTTGGTTACAAGGTAACTCCCCATAACCACCACTTCTCTGGTCAAAAGAATGGCACATCAAAGCATGAACAGATAGCTGAACAAATCCAATTCACTGAAAGCAGTAACTCGAAAGAAGGCAACTGGGCTAAGTGTGCACTACTTAATGAACTCATTATCTTGGCAAATCTTCAAAAGTTTCCGAGAAAATATTTAGGTATTTTTCAAAAGTCTTAATAGTCCGTACTTTCATCCCTTATATAACAGAAAATAAAAAAATGAGGTCAAACAAAAAATAAACTTGCACAAAGCTCTATCCCTAATGCGTGTGACTTGCTGGCCAAAGAAGTTTGGAGAGTCCCTTCCCTACTTCGTGTTCCTGCATCCTCGCATTCCCACACTTAGAAATGCCAGGCTGCCACCCAAGTTCTCCTGGGGTGTTTTCAGGAGAGAAAGCAAGAGGCTATTGGTACCTCAAAAACTAGCAAGCTCTTGAATGCCACCTGAATTATTCAACTTAGCAGATTAATGTAAGTTCTTTGAAAATCTAAGCTATCTCTGAATGATCTCATTGTCTTTTTCACCTGCATTTAGATCGTCAGTCGTCACCAGCTCATTGATGACTTCAGCATTTACCGTGCATTTGCAATGTCCAGCCTTGCTATAGATTGTGTTTCAAGGGGTTAACACTGAAGATTTTCCATACTGGGCTGCTCTCAAATAAAGAGCTGCTGCTTAGTGCATTGGCCATAACACCACTTTTAAGGGGTAGGTCTTTGACTGATGTACATGACAATACTGCTGTTGATAGCAGTTAATTATGGACATTTTGCACCATCTGGGCACTCACGACCTAAACCTCCCCATTATCTAGGGGCTTCACAGGTGAAGTTTCAGGTATTGCTGCTGATCTATTGCTACTGTCATGGTTTTAGGCAACCAGCTAAGGCAAACCTCCTCCACTCTGCGATGAAGACAGTGGGCCTATGAGGGTGAAGGCCCTTTCTGTTTTTTCAATTATGCCTCCTCCAAAACCCATTTAATTATGTTGGTATGAATCTTCATGACAGTACGAGCCCTGAAAGACCGTGTGTCCTGTGACTGCCTGCTTCTGTCATTGCACAAAGTTGTGGTCTTTACTTTCCTAATGCACTGAAGATTACTCGCCTAAGGACAGGGACAAACTATGTCCTGTTCATTCTGTCCTGAGGAAATGCAGTATAGATGAATATTTGTCAATTTGTTTTGTATTTTGATCGTTAGTTTGTGTAAATACACCCAGTGACTGTTTCTTAGATGCTTTAGGCAACTGACCTAGATGTTTTTCTGTACTAAATCAAGACCCTTTTGGGATTCAGTGGTGATACTCCCGCTGATTTAATGTTTACGTTTTCATTTTGACAGTGAAAGCCATCCTGTAGAAAAGGTGGAGCATTTCGTAGCACGTGCATATAAAAAGGAAGCTACTCCTGGGCAGTTTGCTACTACTCCATAGAAGTTGCACACTTGGGAAGTCCTTGGTAATTTGCACTGGGTTAGCACAAACGGGATGAACTGCCACTTGACACACCAGCAACTCAACCTCAGCCCTGCTTTGAGCTTCCCGCTACAAAACTAGAAGCACAGACATCAGTCTATTAAATTCAATAGGTCAGTCTGTCTTCAAGTGGCATTGCTGCTGAAGTGACCTAAACATCTCCTTTTAGTTTACATCTGATAGGCTCAACTCAGTCTCCTTCCTAGAAGAACAGGACAGACTCCTTTTTTTCCCTTCCCGCCCCCACCCCCCCCAAATCATCCTGTATTATTATCTAAACTTCTACAGAACTGTAGAAGTAATACAAGTTGGGAAAATGAGCTGGATTCCTTTGTGAACAACTCACAGGCATGGAGCAAAATTCCTAATTAGAGAATCACTACAAATGACAGGTGGATCAAAGTGTGAAATAACCCGCCCCGGTTTTGTATTTTAGCAAGCGCTGTGTCTAACTGTTCCACCTTTAATTTGTTGAGATTAAGGCAAATAAAATTCAATGCACATGTAAATAAGAAAATCTATATACAAAACTATGCAGCAATTCTTTCTTCTAACCCTACATGTATTTCAGGGCCCTACTACTTTTCTTTCCTGCTTCAACTGCGTTAAATAAGATGTAAGGTCAATTCTGGAGCTGGAAAAATGAGGTTTGTAGGTAGGGATTCTTTCACTGTCCAGACACATACTATCGTGACAGTCTGTCTTCATCATTGTTATTATTTCTGTTAATGTCCAATACAGATATCTCAGTCCCTGTCCTAAATTGATGATAATTAAGCATGAGGTAGGCACAGAGGGGGAATAACACATTTTATGAACAGGTTACATGTATTTCTAGTTGCAAATGAAATAACGGGACCAATTCAAGTTTCATAAATTGCTTAAATCTTGACCACAAAGTGTATTAGATACTAGTGGTACAGGGCAGCAGGAACCATTTTCCACATGTCAAATCTAAGTAAGTCTGATGGTAAATTGTCACACCAGTATCTCCAGTGAGAACATAAACACTTTTGTGCACTCCCATAGTTGTTTGAAGTTATTTGCAAGCACACGCGTTATTTGGAATACACTTGATTACGTGTGCAAAGTTAGCAGTCAGGTGAAGGCTCCTTAAAAACTGGGACCCAGAAGAGCACCACAATCATAAATGTGCAGCTGGCTTCAAAAATTTGCTCATCCTCAGTCTGCCCAATAGTAAAAAGTTGAACCGGTTCTGCAAACTGAGCTCTTTTCGAAAGTAATATTAGGCAAGACCGTGGAGGGGGAAGGGGGGCAAGATACTGAACTTAACGAAGGAATTCGCCTCTTTTGGTGGGCTTCAAGATTAGCATTAAGTCAGCAAGGATGTTTTGAGTAAGGAATAATGTCTTCTAGAAACGCTGAATTCTCACTGCTCTTAAGCCATATTTCTTTCCACACTGCTAAGTATCTATTTGCCATTGTTTCATATTTATCCTAGCAATCTTATTTCTAGAGGGAAAAATATGGCACATCAGACACCTGATAGTAACTTCCCCTAAGGTGCAGACAAATTACGACCTTGATCTAACAGTCTCTGAAACACAGGGAAGCATTAAAGCTACTGAGAAGCTAGAAATAAGCAGCCGTATAACAAAAAATTGAAACTGCAACCAAAACTGGGTGGACGCATGAAAGTTGGTATTTAAAATTTATTGAATATGCCACAGTGCCTACTTTGGTCCCCAAATACAAGAAACTCTATGTTGTTGTCTCTCGTTAAATGAACTCTTCTATTCCCTTTTCTGTCCACATCCTTTCAAATATGTGAAATCCGTATCACTACCTCTTTTTTGATGCTTTAAATACTTTTTTCCTTTGTCTGTTCGCTTTACGCCCTCGAAGGCTGCCTTACTTTTCACACAGATCTACTGCGTGGCCTACAGAGGACAGCCCTGGAGCAGTCCCTGCGCAGCAAAGTTGGGTGGCTGCTGAAGCCCCAACCAGCACACCCCAGTTTCGCTGGGACAGCCGGGGCCCCGCTTTGTGCTTCAGTGTGAAACAGAGGTCCGAGGCAGGCAGGTCCCCACGTATATAAATGCAGCCCGATAAGTATCTTGCTCTTTTCCCATCATTGTTAATTACCAAGTTATTTGTGTGTAAACAGAAGCTTTTGATTTCCTAATCAGCCTCCTGCCCGATTCATTCAGAGATGTCACACACCAGAGTTTGACAGCACAATTAGTCACCATGGAAGCTATTGTGATGTCACAAACACTGAATTGTGGCATCATTGAATGAATCTGGCAGGAGAAGGATGTTGGTTACAAAGGAGAAGGCTTCTGTTTACACAATACCTTGGTAATCAGCAATGATGGGAAAGGGAATATAGAAAAAGAGAGCCTGGTAGTTTAATGAGCATTGATAAAACTGAAAATTTGTAAAGGTTGTCAGAAGCACGCATGTGGCATATTAAGCTATGGAGATAAAGGTTCTGTAATTTACACCTTAATCCTTCACCTCGTCCTATATCCTCAGAACTGAAAGTATATCGCAGACATATACAAACGAGGGTTTCATGTTATTTTTTTCACATATTTCTATATTAGGAGACATACGCAATAAAACCATTAAATAATCAGGATATCCGATGATAAATTTTTTTGAGCACTCTTCTGTAGAGCAGTGAATTTATCTGTGTTGAACAGTATCGGTTTAGGGCTTTACATCTCCAGCAAACTGTTTCCTTTTTTCATTTGTAAGGGTTCTGAATTACATTTTTAGACATAAAAAACCTCTGTTGGCTACAGATAGCATTCACAATTCCAATGCTGGTGATCGCAGCTTATGATTTGTCTTCCTTCGTTTTCTAGAAAAAATTCCCCGTGAAGTATATCGACTAATACTCCAAACGCTACACTTTCTAAAGCATTATTGTATGCTACGTAGAATATCTGAGCGATATGCAGTTGCAAGCTGCACAGCAGAACCCTGCAACTAATCAGTGCCACAAAATAACAGGAAAAGCAAGACTGAATAACATGAGATCCTTTCAGGTACTGTAATTAAACCAATTCACGGTGTTATTTAATTCCCCACAGTTCTTCCTCTTGCTGCCTTCTTGAAACTGTAACCATGACACCTTAATTTCAATCAGGTGGAGGAGCTGCTGCCTGGAGAGCAGATGCCACCGCTGGTCCAGAAATTGCCCATGGATTTGCGGGTGGTGCCACCATTTTTTCCCTGCCTGAAGTCAAGTTTAGCCAACCCCTCCCCCGCCTCAGCATGTCTAGCTTTCATAAGCATTACTGTAGGTATGCAAAGCTGAGTCCGTTCACCCAGGTCTCCCAGCTGGTGATGAGCTGAGCTGTTTCACAGGACCGGTACTCTAAGGATCAAGCTTAATTTGCCTAAGCTGTTTATTTGCAATAGCTTCAGACACAGCAAGGTAGCAACAGAGCGCTAGCGTGAAGATTAGACAGTTCTTTTTCTTTTTTTTTTTTTTTTGGTAGTAAAAACACAGAGGATGGGAAATAAGAGAAGGACTTAAAATGGCTTAAACGCTTAACACATCAAATTGCAATACACAAAAAGCACGTATGCGACTTCAGCTAATTGTACAAATAAAAGCAGTGGAAAGAAAACGTTCCGGCTGGAAGCACATTAATAGGAATTACACATATTTTATGTTCCCAGGTAACCATGCCACCCCTTTGACCGTTCCCTACCTAATCCTAGGTGAGGGTGATGCTCCACTAGAGTCCAGCTGTTATCATCCACACAATGACTTTTGTAAACGAGCAGCTGACAGAGGTCCCTGGCTGTCATGTCTGCTAGAATCTCGACCACTTTGCTTGTTCCATCTTCACTAAAGACTTTTACATCCTGCAACATAAAGGGTACACTTACAGATCAACAGCTCTGAACATAGGCAAACCACACAGCTACTGTAGAAAAGCATCCTCTCGGCGTGACGGTTCCAAGCACCTTGGCAGGCAGGACAAATGACATGGATGATTCACTTTATAACACTCTCTCTTGATGCCCCCTTGCCCTATCTCCCCTCCCCCCTCCCCAACACCTCCCTGAACTAAACAAAGATTCAGCAGGGTTAATATGACCACAGAGATAGGAAAAGTGAGAGAGCAGGTTCTGTATAAAGCTGTGTAAGGTAAGCAAACGTGAAACAATATCAAGAGAGTACTTCGGCAACAGTGGGCAAGAGAAATTACATCCAGTCAAACACACACAATTTTCTCGGCGATCCCGTCGGAGGCCTCCGAACATTTACAGAGGAGCAGGCCGAGACCCCGAAGATGATTAAAAATGGCTCTCTTGTTCCCCACTAACTTTTGATTGTTTCGCTCGGGGATGTCCCACTTGCAGTTCGCCGGCGGATCAATTAGCTAGCACAATCCACGCATTTCTCTCCCTGCCCCGACTTCTCTTTTGATCCCAGCTTGAAAGTAGTTCGAAACCGAGCATGCATACGCTGCACATCCTAAATGTTAATGGAGATGAGAGAACAAGTCAGGAACCTTCTCCCCACCTCCTGAATTATACAGATGCTTTCCTCTTTGCATTGTTCTGCTCAAGCGAGAGACACTTGCCGCAAAATTATTTCTCTGGGCGAACATGCAGGTCCGAGATTTAAATCGACTCCCCGTTTGAAACACTGGGCATCCTAGCGAGAGAAGGCGAACCTAACAAAAACCTGGAGGGTAATTCGATATGGAAAATCTTACCTCAATGGCACGTAAAAGGCAGCAGTCGGAAGAACAAGATGGCATTTTAAATAGAGATTGCCTCTTGGGAGAGAGTTTGCTCTCTGCCTTCCGCCGACCCTTTTGTAGCCTGCGGCTGGGCGCCCGGGGGTGCCGGCGGCGGCGGTACCGTACCTGTCACGTAGCCCCTGCTATGGGGACTGTTTCTGGGGAGGGAAACAACTCTGCCAGAGCTCCACTCAAAGGGTTACACGCAATCTTTGCGGTAGTGAATCAAACCACACCGTGTAGACCAATCCTAGCCCTCCCTCCGACTGATGTAATCATTTCCCACACACTATCAGACTTCCAAATTATTCCCGCCC